TAGTAGGAACTTTATCACAGTATAAGCATAAGTAAAGCCAGCACATCTTAAAAGTACGTGCTGCTGCCTATAAACCTCAACTTGCAGATTCACGAAGTTTGAATACAAGTATTCAAGCAATTATAAAGAAAAATAAGTAACATTATATAACACAATTTATAAATATGACAACTCAAGTATCACAAATCGGTCAAATGTTATTTAGAAATACTGTTTAAGCTACACAGTTAATCTTAGGTTTTTTAACTAGAGAAAAGTTGTCTTTACCAACTTCACATATATCAATTGTTTAATAGAAACAAGAAATTAGTAAAATTTATACTAATCAAATTCTAAATAAAAACAATTGTTCTACTTTTTTTACTCTTAGAATAATGATAGATGAGTTAACATATAGTCAACAAAAAATATTCGTACTATGTATCATATTTTGGAATTCAGAAACAAATCAACCTGATTTCCAACTGTTAAAAATGAAAGATTTGATGAGTTGTACAGGAAAATCTGTAGCTCAGGCAATATATAATACCTTTAATCATTTTAAAATTAATTTTTGTCAATGTTTGGTATGTGTTTTAGATAATGCAAATTATATGAGTAAAAAATCTGGTGGTGCGATTACCTTATTCAACCAAATGAGTGAAGCTAATATAACTCGAATACCATGTGGACTTCATGTGGCATATATTATTATGAATAACTTTGAAGAAACAGCATTTGGAAAGTTGCCTTATATTAGCAGATTTTTACAAAAAAAAGCACACTGCAAATCTTTTATATTTAGTATGGGACCTTCATGATAGTTATAATAAATCTGACAAAGACAAACCAATAGGCATTTGTTCTGACTATATTTACAAACTATATGAAAAATGATTTCAATTCATATGACAAAATATCAACAACTGCTTTGATCAAGATGGCTTTATGAATTGTTGTGTGCAAAACAATATATTGAATGTAGAAATCTTTATATAAAGTTTACAGAGTAGTTTTTGTCTCAACTTAAAGCCCGAACTAATACCCGAAGTCATATATTAAAAAATAGGAATTACTGCAAAAGTGACTTCACGACCCAATTTTAAACATACAAATTAAATTTTCAGTTCGATTTGGAAGGGACTTTTATTATCCAATGGCTAAATTTTTTAACAGGATATGACACTGAATTATATTTAAATGACCAAACTTCTAAACAAACAAATCTCCCTTCTGGAAGGAGTACACATCAAATATCAAAGTTTGTAGTACATACAATAGCAAAACTTCAAATATTTTTGAGAATCCTTACTTATTTTTTGAAGAAGAACTATTAGAAAGCACCTACATACTAGTTAATCATCAACTTAATAAACTTACTTTAGACATTGAATGTGAAACTCAAAAGGCATTAGAACTTTACCAGAATTGTTGGCTGCATTTGCCATTAAGTATTTGTCGTCTAGCCGAAAAATATGGATGGGAGTTTGCACAAAGTTACGCTTATATTGTTTTAAAAATGCCTTGGATATCAGTACCTTCATTACGAGAACTATGTTATATGAAATTTATTGAGTTGGATATTGAAAATGGTGATTTTAATGACTTCGGTCTATTCAATGCATTAAAAAATCCAATGTTTAATTGTGAATTTCACCAATTCATTTGAGAATCACACAAATCTTTAGACCAGTTTCCTAAATTATTTGAATTTGTCAAGTACTGAATCTGGTATATTGTGGTTCACCAACAACAGGTGGAAGGTCTTTTCAATAAATGGGATCTCAAAACTCATCCTAATATGACAAGTAGTCTTCAACAATCAAAGTTATGATTGTCGAATGTACCACTTAAAGAAATCGGTTGTAGCTCCATGGATCTGATGAAACTAAGAACAGAAAAATGTCAACAGCAACTAAAATCTACATGTAACCAAGATTTAGACCAAGAAAATTTCAACGATGATGAATGTGAAAAAAGAGCGAACATTTTATTTAAAAATCTATTTGACAAAAAATAGCATTTTAAATTTTATTTATTAAATTATTGTTATGTTATTAGCGTATTATGTTGTTACTGTATTATGTTCTTACTGTAATTACAGAATTATTCGGATTTGAATAAAATTTGGTTGCTGTTTGTGTAACGTAAAAAATCTGTAATATAATTATCTAACATAGTTTTTATTACTTAGTTGATGTTCCACCCTAGTATCTAGCACTAGCTCAAAAGCTCACCCCTGTAATTTTGGCCAATAGAATTTCAGGATCAGGTGTAACGTAAAATAGAAACGAAACCACTTTCTTGCACAAAAACAAGAATAACTCTAAATTTTAATTAGGAAACCACCTTCTGCGGCCTAATTAAAAATGCTCCTCGTGATGTTTTACTGATAGGCACTATATTGTTCTAATCCTAACCTTAATTAAAAACGGTTTTCTTGGGTTTCATTTTACACGTAACTTTTTTACTTAGAAAACAAAATTACCGGGGATGAACAATTTTTTGTGGGAACGCTACCTAAATCATTAAATTAAAGGTATGAGAGAAACTGTTGTGGCTTATGCTGTACGTAACTAATTACTTAATTATCTGTAATAGTTCTTCCGCATCTCTAATATCAGCTCTTTCGATTATAGTACAATTAATCTTTGCAAATAATATGCGGGAGTTTAAATTTATTAACTTTTGATCCAAACAATAAAATTATTACATAGTTCAAGAGGGACAATAAATATATGGAAAGTAGCATTGATGTTCTAAGTGAAATAAATACGTATAAGAATCAACATACAACTTATATATCCTATTCAATTAGATTCAATTAAATAATCAAATAATAATTACCTTGTTAGATGAGTTCTCAACGCGGAAGAATTAATATCTGTGTTTATCCGTGATGAAATAAAATTGAACATGAAAATAATTTAAAAGCAATCAATGTCTCAATAAACCAACCATTTACTTGATTAAAGATATACAATTTTTGTTTCTGTCTATAATTTTCATCATTTAAATAAATTTCTTGTTTTTTCATATTGGTAGAATAAAAGATATTCCAAGAATTTTTTTGTTCCATCTCGTTGCTTCTTAATCTTGTTTTATTGCACTCCATCTTGTTTCGTTGCTTATTCGCCTTTTTTTCTTTATATACTCACCATATGTGGGATCCTTTAATCCTTTGATGTCCGGTATTTTATCCTTGAAGCAGAGAATAATATTGTCTGATGAAATCCTTATGGGTAGGCAGTCATTAAGATTATTTGGTCCTAGTTTTCTTGATAAGCTTGATAAACGTTGTCAATATGAACCTTGACATGCAACACGAATGTCATCACCCATTGTGATTTGCATCATGTCAAGTTTTTTTAAAATAATCTAAAAGTGCAAAATTTTTCACAAATTTAAAAAAAAATTTCAATATTTTGATACTTACGGTCGTTTTGATTAGTGATATTCCTTAATATAATATGACCAGCACTATGAAAAAGAATATACATCTCAAATCTACCTTTAAGGCCAATTCAATTGCAAGACCCAACATATCAGCTGTAAGTGGAGTTTTTTGTATGCCATCAAATTACCTTTGTTCAATAAATTTCTTAAGATCGTGAACTTTACCAGTTTGTATGCAATAATGTCACCATCAAAATCTCAGTTACAGATAAATAAGTGAAATTTAATATTTGTTAAATGTTAAAACTTTAAAATCATGATTACATAAAAATACTTACGATGATCACCCACATTTATTTGTTTGTTAGGAGGACGAGTGCATAAGTATATTGAAGGGCATACCCATTAGTAATATATTCATTGTAATCTTCCAGGAATTTTGGAATTCCTTAACCAATACTGCCATAAGAAAAAACATGACGAGTATTAAAAGTTGAAAGTGTAGTAGATTTCGTAGGTGCAAAGATTTTTTGTGTTTTCTGATAAGTCAACATATTGATCATTGAATCTGGTAAAGAAATTTGAAATTGGAGGAGTCTTGAACTATTTTATGTGATTTTAAAATGGTTTGGATCTTAAAGTTTTGGCGCTATTGATGTTTTTATAAGTTGCGACGTCATTATAAATACTCAAAATAGTGATAAACTTTTATAGTGAGATTTTCAAACAGGGTAGTTTGATACTAATACGTAATGATAACTTTGGCCGAAATCGCCAAATATCTGAAGTTAATACATATATTTACAAACCGATATTTGCATGTAAATTTAAATACTATGATAGCAACATGATTGAAAGATTTGTTTATAGAATCCATTTTACATTTTCAAACTATTTTTGTTTCTCTCAAAAATAACGATTTTTCTCATAGAGACTTCATGTTAATTTATCTACGCGCACCTTTTTACAATCAAGAGCAAATTAATGATCCTTAAAAGATTATCAAGAATCAAGAAGTTATGCAAATAATTCTCGCCAAATATATATTTTTTCAGCAGTAAGATAGAAATATATGTATATAAATTTAAATGCAAAATTAGCAATTGAATAAAAGATTTCAAAACTTCATATTTATAGCCGTTTTTTTTTTCAAGAAAGAGTAACTCTAAATCTTTCCATTTATGACGTTTTTGTCTACCGATTGATGTAGTTCTTACGAATTTACATTCTAATACGTTACGGCGATTTTCTTGTTGCGTAATTTAAAAGTTCGTGTTATATTCAACAAGGTATATATTCAACAAGGTCTTAGCTTTCAAGATCCCAAAATAAGCAAAATTTCTGTAACAACATAGCTAAAGGTAGTTCATGTAAAAATACAGAGAAATTTAGTATATTTGCCACCAGAACTTTGTCTAAAGTTATGCAACGTCTAACGGCACCAAATTTGGAGGTAGAACTTAACTTATATTACAAATTGTGCTATAAAATTTTAATAAATAATATAATATTAAAAATTGTTGTTAAGGCGATATAGGTGTTTTAGAAGATAAGAGAAAGTATTCAAATTGTATTGGTATATTGGAAATTGTTACCGAAATGGTATTGGTTTTTTTAAAGATAATAAGAAAGCATTTAAGTAATTTTTAAGGCAACAATGCTGTTCCTGATGGATAGTTGGCACTGTTCCTGACGGGTAAAAAAAAAATCATTGCTTTTTGAATTCTATGTTATAGGTTTTACGATCGGATCAGGTGGCAATTTAGTTTTTAATTTTTTTTTCAACGATTTTGTTTTGTAGAATACTGTACAGTATTAATTTTTTAATAGATATAACCAAAAATATTAAGTTAATGAAAAATTAAAACATTTGGCAAATGTAAGTATTACTAATACATTTCAGACTTTGTTTTCAATAAACACGAATGTTAGTAGCATCTCACAAACGTCATGTTGATTATCTGTTATATGTCACATGTATGCATAAATAGTATTTTAATTATATTACACAAAATTTGATCGACCATACTGAATCAGACCAATAATCAATGATATATTTAAAAAAAAATAAGGTGCTCTTTTTACTTGGCAGCACTCATATAATACCATATTAATGTTATGCGTCATTTTTCAATTTATGTTAATTATTAGTTGACGCCAGTTATTTTTCAATTTTTACCGATTGATAAATGATCCAAATCAATTTTTAATGCAGATCATATTACAATCAACGATAGTTTGTTAAATTAAATATTATAATCATACGATAGTTTGTTAAATTAAATATTATAATCATACGATAGCTTATTATTAATAAATTAAATTGATGCCAATATTGATAAATAAATAAATTTCGAAAAAAATGATTCTTTGAGTAATTCTTTTATCATCGTGCATCTTTTCCCACCTTTTACTAATGAATCCGCAAAGTTATTCTTTTCTGACCCGTGATACCTTTAACCGAATATTGGAAACATACACAAATCAAAGAAAAAACAAACGAAGTTTGATGGATAGAGAACGTTACAATAAATGTCTTAATATATTAAAAAACCCAAATATTCAGTGTAATGCTACATTTAAATATTGGACTGTTAATACCTTTAAAATTCTGCTTATTGGTACTACGGAAGAACTTCACATACTAACATAATTTGGGAACTCAAGTATGCATGGTTGAAAATTTTTATGAAGTAATTTGTGGTGCTCATCAGGAGATTATTGAAATTAGTGATACAGAGTCAAATGAACGTTATCTCTACAAAGAAAAAGGAAAATGGCGAGAGGAAATCGTTGAATCTCAGGAAACAATCAGAAAAAGCAGTGTAATTAATTATTATTATTTTTTATAATTATTATTAATTATATAATTTTTTGGTTTGTCACAAATGCAAAAAATTTCCTTTTTTTTTTTTTTTTTTTTTTTTAGTTACGAATGCCATTGCAGAACATTACGAATTCAACTCGTCCCATACATCAAAATCATGAAATTGTTCGTCAAGCGGCAATATTAAGTGTCAAAAGAAACCGTGAGCTTATTAA